TCTGGACTTGTGCAATCGCCAGAGACCCCTAAACCCTAAATCAGTCAAGACTCGCACCATAAGCGCGATAAGTAAGGCGGGCTCCACAGGATGCGCAGCTCGCGCGACACAGCCAAGAACCCGCCAATCCCGTAGATACCTGCAGGCCTACCGGCTTAGCCACCATTAGATACGTCAGGCCCCCAAAGTCAAAATGACCCCGCCTAGTGAGCACAAGGCATGATGGGCAATGTGCGAATGCTCCAGTATGAACATACCATAACATACCTATATCAAATGGGTGAAAGGCTCATCTACGCTACATCTGCGCAGACCTCTAGTTGTCCTCTCTACCCCTCACAGGGGAGAGACGGAGAGACCCCGGCCTTGGTTGGTGCAGGGCCCTTAGGATGTGTGCAGTTAGCTTTCTTGACAGATTCTATATGTTTCGCCAATTGCAGCCTCGTTCTTGCTGCAATGCATCCGCTTGGTTGACACATACCACATCGTAGAAGCATCTGCTCATCGAAGCCATGGAGGAGAAATGCGGGGCGCAAACCAAAGCGCCGAGTGCTGCCCACGGCGTGAGAGCATATATCCATACTCCAGCTGCAATCTCTAGATTCAAGCCGCCGAGAGGCAGGAACGGCTAGACAGGCATCGGCACAAGACGCAGGACGGAGAGAACAAACAAGACAGTGGCCACGAAGATCCAAGCCACCATGGCATAATGCCAGTATGAACTAAGCAACAGCGACACGTACTTCTGATGTCCCTGTGTAGACCATGTATGGGACAGAAACGCATCGATTTCCTTCGTCTGCTCTGAGTTTTCCCATACGCTGACCAGTTCACTTGGACCCATGCGTTCAGGACGTACTCGCCACAGCTTTCCGAGTTTCCTCAGAGTGGAAGCCAGGGGCACGCAGCGGAGAATTTCCTCGTCCACGTCGAGTTGAGTACCCTGAGCCAGCCGGTCGTGCCTGCTGTGTGATCGGCCCGGACCTGAAGACATGGACGACTGCATCGAAGCCTGCTTGATGACAACTGCAGCTCCGAGACCAACGGGGGCTGGAGAGCCTGATATCTCAGGTCCCTCCTCAACCTCAGGAACCTCGGCAGCACAATCGAAAACCTGCATTGCATCATCATCACCATCCGCTGCACAATTGGCCACGTTGACCTTTGCTCCCAGATCACACGGCTGGGGCGGAGCGCAGGATGGCTGCGTGCAACATCTGGCACTTTGCTGTCCCATGTCCGCGAAGCTTAGATGGATTGCCCAATGAAGTGCGCGTTTACATGAAGTGGCGGGTTTAGGGTTTAGGGGCTTTAACATTCAAAAACTATTCAAAAGCTACCTGCAAATGCATGGTCTAACTTCAACAGGTCCGCCACCATGGCTTGATGACCATGCTTTTGAAAATCGGCCGCTGCGGCAGTTGACGGTTCATTCCATTTTGTGGCCAACATACGTGTGGGATTTGATGATACTCCATCCACCGTCTGAACGATCAACAATTTTTCTCATCATGCCAACAGGGCATGTTCAGTGCGCCTACCAATCATGCTCGCCAGACATGTGAAAAACACATCCTTCCCCAATATCTCCATGAACGTGCAAAGCCAATCTTTCTGAAATGAGCTTCGTCCCTTGCGAAGTGCAGCACGCGAGAGAAGCATCTGAATGTTCAGGCATGGTGGAAGCCAACAGCAAAAGTCTCACAAATAAGCCAAGGACAACAAGGATGAGTCGGACGCTCGGTCTGCAGGAAATTGTTCCATGTATGACTCTATGACATCATGCATTGTACTGCACATGCTTCAAATGTTTTCCTCGAAACACACCAAACTTGCGCCGCTCAACACGTCTGCTTCCGCACGAACCCCTCCCCCTAATATCAAACCCTCCCCCCCCTAATATTGAACATTCCCTACATAGTATTCTGTAATATACTGTCAATATTTAATCTTAGGGGGGAAGGCGGGGTTAATATTAGGGGAGGGGATTAACCAACAACCCTAAACCCAAATGGATGCTGCAAAATACCTTGGAAACCCACGGGAATCGAATATACTTTCGAATACCTCATCCTCAAACGACTCGTGCAAGTGTTGGAGTTGGAATTGATATCATCAATCCTGACTACTTATGCGGCTGGTAGCAAAGAAATGGGTGTGGTCTGAAATGGCACAGTACATTTGGAAAGTACCAGGTTCTCAAAATAACTATGAACCATGGCAACTCCCAACATGGCAACTCTACGGTGTCTTTCTGCTGCGCAGAACCGGTTTCAGATGCATTCTTTAACTGCTGATCAGTTCAACAAAGTTCGTCTATCCAAATGATGCATTGGCCCATGCGTCGGACCTAATGTGGCACTGATCAACTCCGCTTGATGTGCAGCGCAATACGAGTATCTGTCTTCCTCCATTCCCTTGCCCAAAGAAAAAATCTACCACGACATCTGTTGCTCTAGACAGAAATCTGCGTCATCATGAAAATTGTCCCGAAGCCTCGCGTCCTTCTTGCTGTAGACAAACACTGACGAGTCACGAATGGTCGCCTCGCCTACTTCGTCTTGCTCTGAGAGATAGCATCAAGACTTCTTGGGCAGGGAGGAAAACCATGAGAATCAAAGCCTGCAAACAAACCGCTTTGAAGTGTTCAAACACTCTTGGGCATCCCACAGATGGAGGCAGTTCCACTTGAAACAGACACGCCACGTTTCCGATCGTCTCTGTGGCTCTGTTTAGGCTACAGGCAACCTCTGAGCGATCCTGCACATGCGCATTCGTGAGTTCTTCGTGAAAACGATATGCATCATGTCAGGAGTCTCGGTTGTTGAAGCTCTGCATCTCTGCATGGTTTGGCAAGCTGCTCGAGCTATGCAGTTACGCTCTCAACACCCAGCTTTGCAGAACACAGCATTTCGGCATAACGAACGAGCATCTTGTGAATAAAGCCTCTTGGTGAGGCGATCAAGGGATGGATGCGTAGAAGTCACGAGGAGGAACGTCGTACGTGACTGAAGTAAAGCTATGGCTCCATCAGTAACCGAATTGAATTCAATGGACTTGCAGGCCCGGGCCGTGCCTGTCACACTCTTTGCGATTGTGTAGACTGCGAAGGGGGAAGGTCTGCACCTTCCTTATCGTCGTCCCCAATACATGCAGTCATGCCAGTAAGTCAGTGCATATGTACGTATGTATCTAGGTATGTGCGTGTCGTATGTCAGCATGTCTGTGTGTCTCTGTCTCTGTATGTCTCTATGTCGGTATAGGGCTCTGTATCTGTATGTCAGCACTCCCGAGCACCAGAGGTTCCTCTTCCCTAGCTCACATCCCTAAAAGGCACCTGCATTTAAACTTCCGACACTGTCTCCATGAATCCTACCCAACATCGCTTCACGCACGCGAGAATACCATGCACCATCGACTGTAGTTTGCAATGCGGAACCGCACAGTGCCTCGTATCACAGGATCGGCTTGCTCGCTTGCCTGGAGTCTCTGTCTCGCGCTCTCCAGGTGAGGGCAAAAGCCGGCGCTACAAACGTGCGCAGCTACAAGCATCCGCTCAGTCCCTGGAGTAACACGAAGCAATCGCAGCGGTCAGCATGCTGCTACAGGTTCATGCATACTGTGACAAGCTCTTCCGCGCACGATTTTCGATTCAAACATCGCCGGTCACAGGTCATGCAAGGTACCATCAAACACACCCCTCTATTGTTAGTTCATGCACTTTGGGCTGAACTGCAGGTGTCAAAGGGTGACATACAGTTCACTATGAAAAGGATGCTCGTGCTAGTTAGTTGGCACGAAGAAAATCCTGGACACAGGCTCCGCTTTCGCGACGAATTAATATGGCCCGGCTGCCTGCAACACGTTACCATCCGTGCCCACGCTCGGGCAACTTCCTTTCACATACTTCCCGAAGACGGCATCCATGTTTGCATTCGAACGGGCCTTGAGTGCTTTCTGCGCCGCCGCCTTGTTCTCCGGCTTGCCCAACCAAGTGACGATGGCCGTCTTCTGCAATGCCTTGCCGTAGGAGAAGGAGAGATGCCAGGGAAGGTTCGGGTGGAGCTTGTGCATGGTGCTGAGATTGACAGTGGCCTCCTCCTCATTGTCCTCGTTGAGCGCCGTCTCCCCGGAAAGGAAGAAAATGCCGGGCATGGCCACCGGCACCGTGCGCAAGAGCGTCTGCACTGTGAGCTTTGCAATGGTCTCGGCGTCTGCCTTAGGCCCCTTCAGACCGTTCTTGACCATGTTCGGCTTCAACACGGCGCCCTCCAAGTAGACGCGGTGGTCGGCCAAAGCTTTGAACTGGGCCGCCAAGACGATCTCCGTCATTTTGCGGCAGTACTCGATGTCGTGGTCTCCGTTGGGCACGATCTCGGGCTCCACGATGGGCACCAAGCGCTCGCTCTGGCAAATGGACGCGTAGCGGGCCAATGTGTGAACGGTATCCATGATGGCCAGGTTGCTGGGCAGGCTCTTCTTGGGATCGAGCTGGAGAACATTGCGCCATTTGGCGAAGCGGGCCCCCTTCTTGTAGGCCTGCGCACAACGCTCTTGAAGGTCGTCCAAGCCTTTGGTCGACACTTCTGGATGTCCCAAAGGTCCAACCTCCGTGCCCCACATACCCTTCTTGTCGTAAGCCTTGTCCACCTTGATGCCGGGGATCATGCCGTTGCCGGTGATGATGTCCACCATCGACTTGCCATCGGCATCGTCCTGGAAGAGGGTCTCCCAGTGGAGGATGACGCCACTGATGTGCTCGCTGAGCCCAGGTGTGGAGAAGCACATGGATCGGTAGGCGGCCCTGTTCTCAATCACGTCCGGGATCTTCGCCGCCTCTGCATGGCCGGCACGGAGCCATGGTCCGGCTGACTCGTCGGCGGCCAAGAAGCCCTTGCCTGGTGCGCAAAGCTTCGTGGCAGTCTCCTTCAGCTCGGCCAAGACATCCGCGGGCAAGTTGGGCGGGAGTGAAATTCGGCCATAGTACCTTGCTCTTGTTCAATCATTATGGCAAACATGCTCTGCTAAGGCATCCCGATATTACTTTCTTTGGCCGGAGACCTCCGTCTTTAGCTTGTGCAGTTTAGACACTTCAGCGGCTTGTCCTCGGCCTGTGGGCTGCCTTCCTGGGCCTTGTAGAACTTCTGGAAGCCTGGGGTTCACAAAGTCTGTGAGCCCAATCGGTTCATGAGAGCTTTGCACAGCCCGGGCCTTCCCAGCATGCGCCCTGGGCGTTGATATCAACGTTCATCTTCCTAAGCACACGGAGAGGCCCTAATCTGAGTTCTCCACATCCTATACCTAAGCAGGTCACTGGCCCAAACCAGCCCAAAGCTGCAGCTGAGGAGCACGACACCGGCAGCAAGGGCTCCTGGGATTTTGTCCTTCTCGAAGCCCGACCCCACTACCTTAGCTGAACGGCGGAGCGAGACTGTGCCGGAACAAAAGCCTTGGGTCGCCACATGTCTTAAGAGTAGGTCTGGTACGGGTAAGATACTCCAGGTGCTTCTTGAAGAAAACAGGCGCTACGTGCCCTCGCATTGTCCATACTCATGTGCGGTTGGCGGGCAGGCTTAGGCGCAGGGGTGCAGTTGGCGATGCGTACGGTCTACAGGGTAACTGCCGAGCATGCAGAAAACTGCGCAGCTGCTAATTCGACTTTTGAGGCAACTGACTTCAGATTGGGCACGAAGCTAAGCGGCTTCTGGATGTCTTTGCCGGTTGCTGCCTCGGTTGGAAAGTGTTGGGAGTCTACGCCTCCTCCATCCGAGATGATGAGAAGTGAAGGCAGTCAGTTTGTAGTGTGACGAGCCTTGATTTGCTCGCGGGCATGCGCCTGCATGTCCTTCAACCTCAGTGCCACTGGCTGTCATAGTGAGTGAAGGCCGGACTCAGGACAGAGAAACAGCTCACATCCCTGCACAGTGTTTGCCTGAAGTTTCTACCCTACTCTGCCCCACTCAATATGCATGACTCTTGCCGTCCAGGGGCAGCTCCGGCTTCACGACACTTCCGGCCTGATAGGGAAAGAAATCTCAAGTCCATCTATCATTGAGAAGGTGAGCCTTCGAGAAGAATAGAGAATAGGCCTGAATAGGCCCCACCGCCCCACCCCGAATGTGCACGATGGTCCGCCTGTTCTCAGTACAAGCTTTACATACTCCAAGGTGTCGTGGAGAACTTCGTGATTTTCCTGTCTTGGCTGACGTATATGGCCTTCCATTCGGGCGGGCTGGCGCAAACCCTTGTAATCCTTCTGGAAGTTCTGCTTATTGTCTGGATGTTTCAATTAACACAAAAAATGCTCCGCACCACAATGCACCACAGCTGACATCGGACTCCCGTGGTCTGCGTCTGGGTCTCACGGAATGCTTCCGCCGGTTGCACGGTACGGTGCTTTACACAGTAATATCGTCCACTTCCCCCGCTCTTTCTTGCTGTAGGCTCAAAGTCTGTCGCCCTGGTAGGGGCTGTATGTCGCTATTGCTCCGAATGCTCGAGAACATTCAATCTGCAGCTCTTGTTCCTGGCTTCGTGATCTCCCTGACAGTCCTTGCGTGCTGTCGCATCGTCCATCGCTGGGGCTGGTGATGCGCAAGGCCGTGCTGCAAATCAATCATGATGCCACGGTGGCACTCGCGCAGCTGGGGCTATGCTCCGCAACGTAGATCCAGCTCTCCATCAGTATGTGGGATGTTACTTCCGCCAACTGGAGCTTCACTCCTCTAAAAACTAAGCCAAACTCACGGGGCCGGTCCGGCCTTGCTCAAACCTGGGCCACCCGAGACGGGCAGCCCTGTATTTGAGGAATTATATGCCATCATGCAACATGTAAACTCGTTCTTTCTAGCTTCGGTATGCATCGGTGCAGGAATTCTCTCAACTCTGGCATGCATGCTCTGTCCAACCTTGCCTTTGCAAGGCTCATAACCGCTCAAAACCAAAAACCAGCATACGGAACTCGATCTTCTCCCTGCCTTGCAAGCTGCTGCGATGGTGAACTTCTCTGAGATGGGACTCAGGCCCTGGTACACCTGGGAGGAACGCCGCTATGCGGATTTCAGCGAGCCTGCAAGTTCTGCGGAGGCTCTCCCTCAGGCACAGTCTGTACTCCCCAACACCCTGCACCCTGCCTTGAAGATGCTGCTGCCATTGGTGATGCCAATCCTGATTAGCAACGCTTTTCGGCTGACGCAAAAGCCTGCAGGTCTAACTCGGCCAAACACTTTTGAGTACAACGACGCGCCGTGCGTGCAAGTCCTCGCTGCTTGTTAAATACCGAAAATCCGGGAGGAAGAGATCGATGGCAGAACGCATGATACCGGCAGGTCCCCGCCAACAAGCATGCCATCTAAACCTACCAGGACTACAGAACATCAAACTCTACGACATCGGTAGACACTTGACGGACTCCCAAGAGTTGCGTGTAAGCACGCGATACTGTAGGGAATTGTAGACGTATCGCCTCTGAAAGTTGAAGGGCACGTGCCGGCAGTTTTCGTTTCCACGACAAGCCGACTCCGATCCTTTGCCGCCCCCTGTGGCGAAGGACTGCAGATCCGCCAACCGGTGCCGACGCGACATGCAAACATTTTTGTGGTGGCCGAGTGGCCCCATCTCCAGAATCTGGTTCACGGACGACATGCGTTTGAAATACGTCTTGCAGAGCTCGATGTTGTCGGCATCCGGCTCCTGTCGACAGGTTTCATGTGTCGCTCCTCTCTCCTCTCTCCTGCACCGGCAGGGCCTGGGAGAAGTCAAGCGTGTGCATGGAAAAGAGCGTCTCTCCATACTGCCTTGCCGACTCGTGGGCCATGAACTCGAACACTTCAGACTATACTTGCTATGTCAGTGCTGCAGGCGATCCCAACATCGGATTCGGACTCTCGTTTACGCAGGACACGGTGATGGTTCCAGAGGCTTGATCTTCGTTGGGCAAATTCGGGCGATGGTGGGCGCGGTGCCATGGTGCTTTAGCCTATCATCGTCGGACACTCGAGACCTGCTTCCAGGAAGCAATCTCGCGGGAGACTCCTCTTGCAACAGCTTCGCAAAATGCCGCCGAGTGGCTTGAAGTATGCCTCGTCAGATTCGAGCATGCCGTCAAACCAAGGGAGCCTGCAAATTGAGCAGCGTCTGACCAGATCGAAACTTTCTCAGCATGGGAAGCCGACGCGGGTGCATAACAAAAAGCCGAGTGGGTCTGAGCCTGTAACGGTGATTGCAGGCTAGAATCCAAAACGCCTCCTGCAAGTTTTCAGGCATGAAGCCCTTAATTTGGGCCTAGCCTTCGAGAGCTGTCGACCCGCCAAAACTTATCCGAGGCACAGCTGCTTTCCGCAATATCCAGTGTTGATCAGCACGGGAATACCTTGAAAAGGAAATGGCAGCGACATGTGTCAGCCCCAGAGGGGCCCTACAGGTCTAAGGTACACACCCTTACGCATCCGACTCAGACTGAACGACTGAACGTCACCACCATGACATGTCACTCCCGACGCCAGGACTGCTGACGCAGCTCGCGAAACTCCGGGGCATGTTCAGTCATCGTCCAATCAGCATTTCCATGACAAGCATGTGCAAGCTCCCGCCCAGCGGCCATATGCGGGCGCCACAGCGCGGACAAAATGCGCGCCAGCCACAGCGCCGAGAATGGAGGCCTTCAGACAATGGAGCCGGCTTGCGGCTTACATGTGATACCGTCATGCTCTTTGGAGCTACAGGTCTGACGATGGTAGTACACAAGTCTACAAAAGGGCCTGATGCTACGATGCAAGCGATCTCACAGTATCCAGAAAGGCCACCTGGTTCACACCCTGTTCGTTGGGCAGCGACTTTCCAGCCTGGGTCGGCAGATTTTGGCAGCTCGGGATGCTGCGACTTAGGGTTTAGGGTTTAGGGTTTGGGTTTAGGGTTTAGGGTTTAGTTTAGGGTTTAGGAGACCGCGGGACTCTCCTGATCCGAGGGGCGATGAAGGCAGAACCGCCCTCGGAGAACTGAACAACGGCAGGCCGGTTGAGCTCCTGCATGAGACATGAATGGCTCTCTCGCCTATCGGTTACTTCACACTGGGGCGAAGCTGGAAAAGTCGTACCTAGCCTGAGACAAGCCCAAAGCAATTTACCAAAGCAGCCAAGGCAGTGTGTGTGTGTGTGTGTTGGGCTCCCTCGCGGCCGCAAGGACGGAGTCGATCGCGCTCGTACTTGTGCAGGTGACCGCTGCGAGGGCATACCCGTACTTCTTCGCCTGGTTTAGACATGCCTGCATGGGTATATGTGTATATAGAGAGATGTGGAGCGGTATATGCACTGTTTCAAGAATACTACCAAGTGCACAAATCAGTATCTACGATCACGCGCAACCATGTAGCTGTGTTGCAGGTACAGGCCCAACATGTACCAGATTACTTCAAGATGTCCACTCATGCATGTCAGTCAACTCTGCACTTAAAGTCTCTTACAGTGCAAGGTAACCCAGAAAGGCAGCCGAGTATCATGCTCCACCAGCGACCAGGCCAAATCACCGGTGAGTACGCCAGCCTTGCAGCCGGGAGCCAGACTGCAGCAGCAGCAGCAGCAGCAGCAAGGATGTGATGAAGGTAGGTGGGATAATCCCAAATAGCAGCCCCTGCTATATAGCGGACCGATGATCCTGCCTGCCTTCGTCCCACATTCTGAGGTCCCCGAGACACATGACACAAAAACAGGTTATTCGTCTTGCGGCGCCCTTTCCGAATCTGCGCCTTCATGCCCGGAATCTCCCAGAAAGACATGGCTTGCAAAGGAAGCTTGACTAAGGCTAAGAGACCAAAGGGCAACCTGCCCTTTCTTGAGCAACAGCTGCTGCAGCTATGCGATCTTGGTGGAGAAAGTCGCAGCACCAAGTCCACAACATCCAGCGACTACTGTTGAACTTAGTTATCGAGCATGTGCTTGCAAGTGGCGCGACATTAGCACAGTCACTGATTGCAAGCAGGCACCTCCCGGAGAGTCACGCAAATTTGTGGGCGGCATTTTGTCAGCACGCCCTGTCGCACCTGTTTCTATTTCATGCTAGCTTTGTGGCACAGCAATTCTATCTAGAGCGGTTCTTAAAGCTTGTTTTAGCCCTTTGTTGATCGCGTCCAAGTCGTTGACGACGGCTGAGTTAGGCGAGGAAGGTTTCAGGAGCGACTACTCGGCGTAAGCTTCTGCAAACAGGTTTGCCTGTTCCGACAGTTTCCAGGCAGTTTCGGGCCCGATGGCCTTGCAGACTTGCCCAAGAATCGAGCCCGACCCATATGCATGCATCCAGCTTCTGCGGCATCTAGTGGGGCAGTGCTCAGGGGGTCTACTTAGCTCGTCGCCCAAAGGAACCAAGGCTTTCGACTCGCTCTTTGCTGGTCACTTGTCAAGACAGCAGCAAACACACCCCTCGAGTCTCTGTTCAAGCACTTCGGGCTGAACAGAAGACGACAAACGATTTGCTATACAAAGTCCGTGAATACACTTTAAAACGGACGCTTCGTGCTGGTTACGCGAAGAAAACTCTTGGCCATGGGAAATCGGCTTGAGCGATGAACTAGTACGGTCCGGCTGCCTGCAACACATTGCCGTCCGTGCCCACGCTCGCACAACTTCCCTTCACATACTTCCCGAAGACGGCATCCATGTTCGCGTTCGAACGGGCCTTGAGTGCTTTCTG